GAAAAGTCTTTGCGGTTTTCGACAGTTATTGTTTTCTGACTTTTGAAAGAAACAAAACACATGAGGAAGCAAGGCAATCACCCTCACACACTATCACTCTTTTGCCACTTTTTGGGCAGACTTCGGCTGCCTCCAGCAAGGAACTGCCCTGCGTTAGACTTGAAAAAGTTACGCAACCCCAGCCATCTATGTCATCTTCATCTTTGGCGTTTTCCTCTCTTGTATAGCATTCGAAGCGACAGGAAAAGGTGGTAGTCTGTTGTACCAGTTTCCTGGCTGTACGGTGAGTGGCTTCCCACTTCCCATCCTGGGTCGAGTTGCTTCTGTCGGGTCACTGTTGTAGTGCGTGGACGAACGCTGTCGTGCAGGAATCAGATCGTGCCGCAATTTCGATGCTTCTCTGCGATCTTGGTGGCCATTCTATCCAGCTCCTAATAGCACAAGTCCACCGCGAGAGTAGCGCAGCGCGGCAGTAGCTCGTAATGGATAATGCCTTAGCAGTCTCACCAAAACAGATCATAACCTTCAGAGGGTGAACACCTGCCTTCTGTTGCGGCTCAGGCTGGTCACCCTTGTCAACCCAGCGTCGGCGGGCCTTGATGTTGACCTACAGACAGCACTTCTCATCCTGTGTGACGACGGACTTCAGCCAACCATCCGTGCGCCTGTACGAGAGCCATTCATTAGTCACCTCGGCACGTTGCGGACAATCGTGTTCGGTCAAGCTGTGGGGTACGCACTGTCCCAGGTTGTGCACCTTTCCCAACTGATGCAGGTGACCGGCAGTGATGCTAAAGGATACACCTGAGACTTATGCAACTTCACGCGCAGTTTGCCTTGGGTCTGCCCACACCAGCTTACGCAAACGATCATTGTCGACTTCGAGTTCACGTCCCGATCAAGTGGAACTTTCAATCTTGGAGTCTCCTCGCGGAAGCGTTCAGACAACCTTGTGCAGCGCATTCGGATACCCTACGTTCTCCACACGCAGCATCAATGCGACGTCTGGATTAGGCTGCTGATTCGCCAAATATCAACCCGTATAGTAAAAGGTCATGAAAGTACTGTTGTGAAAGTTGCATATTGCAGAAACGTGATAAGCTACAGGTAATAGCTAATAATTATACTGAACTTGCACATATATGTTCTCCTTATATATGCACGAGCCAAGTTGCTGGCAGGCGTTTAGCAGGTTAAAAAAGATTTTTTGAAAACCGCAAGGACTTTCCCTACAACATAATATTACGATGTGGTTTTTATTGGAGCGGAGTCGGCGAATCCATGGGCAGCTGCGTCTCTCATTATATGGCGCTGTATCTTGCTATAAGATCCTGCCCATAGTCATATTCTTTTTTCTCTATCTGCTGTTCATTGAAGGCGTGCTAACCATAAGAGCATAATTAAAAGAATGATCTGGCTCATTTCCCTTTGTTATTGTTGTTGTTCCGTCATTGCGCGGATGTTTGATGTAAACATGGTGAGCTGTGGGTGTTCAGGTCCATTTCTCAGAATGTTCTCTTCTCGACTGGCGAGAGCCGGTGCGGTGGTGGGCATAGCTGCCGCCACATACTACTCGCTTGATGTTGGTAATGAAAAACGCTTCAAGAGACAAATGGTAAGGTTTCACTCAACTTTTCAGAGTGGTTAAGGGAGCAGGTGTCTGTGCACTTTAAGTGATTGGACACCTCAAGTAGTTAATGTATGTCACGGCAATGTCTTTGGAACGACCGCACTGTATACGTGCGTAGTCTCTCTGAAGAGAGCAGAAAATCATTTGTTCGGTTGCACGGGACCGTAATTTGGACACGAATGGACATAGTGATGTGAAGAATAGAGCAAGGACCTGAGCTTTAGCTATCCAGTCTGCCAGTCAGGCGTGTATAAGGGAGGGGTTTCCTAACCCAGTTCTTAAGTTCCATTGAACAAACCTCTGTAATGGTGGCGCACTAGAGAAACCTTCTCCTGGCCCTTTTGAATGGTTGTCAACATTCCCATGGGTAAACTGTTGCGTTTAGGTTTCGCCATTTCTAACCATTCAGTTTGTGCTTACCAAAGCCATAGGAAGACCAATCTGAGTGACCGGTCTGGGTAAAATGAACTTGATCAAATGTGAGCTCCTTAAGTGGGTTGTTAGTTTGAAATGATCTGATAAGTACCCTTCTTTGATCCCCTTTTATATTACCAGATTCAACCGCCGGGACCTTCCTTTCCTGCGCAAGCTTTCTATCCTCCGCTATGGTCCCTTCCTCCTGTGACACCAACACCTCCTGGAAGTGACGCGTATGCAACACAATGGTGTTTCATACAGTAGAAGGGACACAATCATGATATGACGGTAGATTTTTCGCTTCCCCTTCCCATCCTCCCTTCCTCCACTGCCCTCCAGCTGCCACTGCAGCACCATGTGGAATGAACGGAAGTGTGCTAAGCAGGTGTTTATATAGCCCTAAGAGTGTTATCACAACTATCCTGCTACAAAACATTGATATCTCAAATCCTGTAAGCTACCCGATTTGTTAGCGGTTTGTTTATCCCATGAGCTTCCTTCTCACTCACTTCATTTTGCGGACGGACACACACATACATACATACATACACACACACACATACAGATACATACAAACCGACACACAAAGTTAGCGCTTTATAAAATATTAGGTCAACTCATTCAAACATGTCCAGACATCTAGAGAAATGGTGGGAAAAGTAAAAGAGCTAGAGCATTCTACTTGCTTTTGCTTTTAAGCTAGCACACCCAGCTACGGTATACCTCTAATTTAGTTTATAGTGCTGCAGGAGGAAACACTTAAACACATAAAAGAATTCATAGTGACCCAAATCGAGGTGGAATTTCCAGATGACTGGTGACACACGTAAAATTCGCAACTCGAATTCTGTGTGTGCTGGCTCAACTTACGCGTGATACAGTGTTCTCGAAGTGCTACGTTGAAGATATGGTGTGAGAGCTCAAAGAAGGGAGAACGGAAGCGAGTTGTGGTTGAGGTTGCGCTCATATTGTCCACCTTGCCCA